TTTTCGAATAATTCATCTAAAATCCAACCTTTTTGGCAAATCAAACATTTATCATCTAGTTACTCTAAACAACCTTCATTAAAACTGTTTATCTTCAATGCGCACTAAGAGTAAATTCCATTTTAATATTGCTAAACAATTCCAAATTAAAAAGTTTAACAAAAGCTTTTATCATATACTTATTAGGCTTGAATATTTTGACCACCAGAAATTAAATGACATTTTTTTAATTATTAATTTAAAATCCAACCCTTTTGACAAATCAAACATTTATCATCTAGTTACTCTAAACAACCTTCATTGAATTAAAATTAAATAAAAATTTTCTCTAGTTTATTGTAAAATACTTCAATATCTCTTATTTCAGCTGTACCTGATTGGGTTTTAATATTTAAACTTAATTAAGGATCATAATGATTTTTTATAAATATTTCTATTTATTATTCTGCAGAATTTATTGTTTATTAACCATATAAATAGTTCACTATTATGGTATTATAATCATTCTTAAAAAACCTTATTAATACATCTGAATGAGGAGGTAGCTGAGTAGAATAGTTAATCTCTGAAAAGCTGTGAAATCTGCAATGTGCAGACCTTAAATAAATATAAAATTAATTAAATGATCCAAAAGTCCATCCATCAGAATTTGTGAGTTAATTTTGATTTAATGAATACTAATGCAGTTTCCATTATAAACAAAATATACTATAATTCTCAATGCATCCAGCACATCCATATTAACATTTATTAATACTCAATTTGAATGATATTAATCCTCCTTTATAATTGTATTCAAAATATATCCACAAAGATCTCCTGTTATGTTTCCGAGTTATAGATATTGTACGTTTATGTAGAGTTCCACAAGCTTCAGATTAAGATTATAACACTGATGAATAAGTAATCCATTAAGAATCTATTTAAACAGAAGGTTGCTGATTGTTATCAATACTTTTTAATTAACTATATAATTACGTAACAAATTCTGCGTCCACAATAATATGAGAATGAGGTTCTAGATCTAAAAATGCTCTGCTAATCCCATTTCCACCATCAACAGATTTTCCAAAATATTTGATCGTACCACAAGTAATGAATTAATAATTAAGTAAAGAATCTTGCCACTCTAATATAGAATAGTAAATTATATAAATACAGTCTCTATTTGCATTAGAGTTTGCATCAAATTAATAAATAATAGCCTGATGAGTTGTATATACTAAGACGATGATTAATATCATAATTATTTAATAGAAAAAATAATAGAATTAGAATTTTAGTTAAATAAATTTAAACGAAGAATTAATACGTGATTTTATTATTCAATAAATTAAAATAATAATGCTATATAATAAAATGAAGATTGGTATCATAAATAATTGATAGAAAAAATAATAGAATTAGAATTTTAATTAAATTAATTTATATGAAGAATTAATACATAATTTCATTATTCAATAAATTAAAATAATAATACTATATAATAAAACGAAGATTGGTATCATAAAAAATTGATAGAAAAATAATAGAATTAGAATTTTAATTAAATAAATTTATATGATGAATTAATACATAGTTTCATTATTCAATAAATTAAAATATCAATACTAAATTAATATCTTATTTAAAATTATGATTACAGATGGAAAAGTTAGCTAAAATTTATAATAGTATTTTATAGAAAGGATTATCAAAATAATAAATTAAGCTTCTTTTTGGATTTTTTTTTAAAAGCAAATTGATGATTTATTTATACATAGGAGTAACCACTTCCATTAGGCTATTCTATATTTTTATAATAATCCATCTAGTTCTATTATGAAACATTATTTGCTATGTATAAAAGTTTATTATAAATTTGGATTAATTGCATTCTCTCATGTCTAATTTAAGTCATTTTCATTTATTATATCAATTTAAAATTTAAGAAAAGTTTTTTTCAATTTTTTTATGGTTTTAAGCCTAACACACAGAAATTCAACTATTTTAAATTATTGAAGTACTACATGAATATAAAATTATTTTTTACATTATTGAAATGAAACCAGATATCTATCCTTTATGTCCTGATATTTGTTTCTCTAAATTTGAAATTATTAAAATTTATATATATAAATAAGTTCAATACGATTTCTTAATTGCTATTAAAAAAATAAAATAAATCTTGCTATTCTGTTTTAGGATAATGAGAAGAATAATTTGAGAAATTCTTTCAATAAATTCTATTAGTTGAAGTTCAAATCGATTGTAAGAAATTATTTTCTCTACCTTTTTTTTTCTTAGACAAAATATTTTCTTTAAAGCAATACAATTTTGGAAATTATAAGCAATTATGGGAAAGAAAATTTAAAGCCTGACGGCTATTATTAAAAATACTTAATATTTATTTAGATATAACTTAAATTTAGCCATAGGCAGAGAGGTCATCAATTTATGATAATATTGTTTTGGATATTCTATAATCTGCTTTAGGATCTTATAAATAAAGTTGGATTTCCCTAACTTTTTTTAAATTACAGCTTTAGAAAAAGAAATCAGATTATAACTACCTTATCCTAGTGTTATTTTGAAAATATATCTATTTAAGATAGAATATTAATGATTAAATTATTATTGAGAAAATAATTATGCTTAACTATTTTAAATAACTATAGAAGATTCTTAAAAAAGATGGATTTATTAATTCTGATTAACTTTATTTAAATAATTTAGAAATTGAATAATCAATTTTTATAATAGAGTGAAATAAGTATCATCAAATATCTAAATTTCTTTCTTTAATAAATTTTATAATGATATTCTTGATATTCAAAAATCTAAATTAAAACTATTTTGATATCAAAGAATTATGGATTATTCATAACCCAAAATTTAAAATTTTTTACATATAATTCTTGTTTAATTTATAAATCTTTTGATAATCTACAAATATCCTATTGAGATATAATAAGAGGAATTGGTATTGTTTAGGCTGAATCATTTAGAAAAACATCTACAAGTTCAAGTTTAATAATAAAAGAATTTTTCATTTTAAGAAACTATAGCAAAGTCACTTGAAGTGATAAATATAAATTTCTTGGACTTCATCAATATCTTGATAGCTAATTACAATAAGTTTTGGTTAAATATTATTTACAATTACTATTTGTTTTTTCAGAAATTAATTTTGAAATAATTTAAATCTAAATTATATTATAAATTCTATCACAAAAAAAAATCAAATTTCTTTAATAATAATGTTTATAATAGTACCAATACTATTATACACATTAAAAATAAGAATATATTTTTTTTAAATTGTATATGTTACTAGAATTGTCAGCTAAATTATTAATTAAATTAAATTTTTTGTTATGGTGATTGTTATAATTTGAAAAGGTAAATTTAAATTTTTCAAGTTAAATCTACTTCAGGAGTAGAATAATTGTTTGTAGAAAATAAAGATGTTCAATTTTGTAATTTCGAATAATCTATAGGATGCAACAATTTTTAATTATCAATCTACAACTTTCTCCTATGATTTAAGATTTGGAGAAGTCACATATTTAGGCAGAGCTTATGCCTAATCGATAAAGATTAAATTTTAGATTTTAAATTTTAAGATATTTTTATAACTTGGATCCACCTTAAATGTAATATTCTTCTAATATACTCAACTATCAAAAACAGAGGAAGTAATTGTTGTATTATAATTAAAGAACTTTTATATTATGTAACAATCTGATAAAGAATTTACGTTATATTAAATTCATTTCAAATCCTAAAAATATTTAAAAACAATTTAATTTATTTTCATATTAAATCAATTAAGATTAAACTTATTGAGATTTTATTTAAATAATAAATTAAAAAATAGTTTGATTTTTGAAAATATCAAATTGTAATCAATGAAGTTTGAAATTGATGTTGAAAATTATGTTTGCTAATGAATAAGGCTAACAATAGAATTCTTGTTAGCTGAAAATGTTAAGGTATCAATTGAAAATTCTATTTTTCAAAATAACACTGCATTTGGAACAATATATAGGACGGAGAATCTATTTTGTTAATTAATATTTATAGCTAATTTATGCTAAGAAATGATAAAGCAGTTTCGGAGTATTATATTTGAAATAAAATTTTACTGCTGTAGGGTGTCACTACCATCAAAAGTAACTATTATTTTAAATGTGAAAATTCATTAGTATCAAAAATTAATATTTAAGAAACATAAGATTTTTTGGTATAATAAGTAATACTATAATATAATAAAATACTTAAATTGTAATATGATACTTCTCTTACCAAAATATTTTATCTTGTTAAGAATTTTCAAAATAAAATAAATCTTATTCTCATTTAAATTACAAGTTAAGGCTTCATTTTTTTATATTTATTTATTTCATATTAATTAAGTTATTACTTATTTTAAATATTAAGTAATTGCTACAATTATAATATTATGAAAAACGAACTTCTTTGATAAAGATAATAAGTTTTGAAAATATATAATCTATGATCCTATTTTGGCTAAAATAGTTATAAAGTCTATAATGATAATAATATCGAAAGCGTCATTTCAGTATTCAGAAAGACTATTTATTGTTGAAGCCTATTTCTTAAATTTTATTCTATTTAATACTATATTTTAAAGGATTGAAATATTGTGCAAATTATTTATTAATATAATAACATAATAAAAATGTATTTTTAGTTTTTGCTTCTTTTCATTGCTAATCTATGAGTAAAATGTTAAATATAATAACTATATGAAAATTTTAACTTAAGAAAAGGAATAAATTGGAATAATTGGAATAATTGGAAATGCTAAAATTCACTATATCCAGAAGTTTACTCATGTTAAAGTGGAATGGATTTAATAAAGGTTGATAAAAGATGTAAGGAAATTACTTATGAAATTCAGAATATCACCTCATTATTAATTGATAATTGACTTTCGTAGAATGAACTATCCATAAATATTAACTATAATTATAAATAGATAATATATAGTTATGGTAGTTTAGATGCTAATAATGATTTTGTTGTTGAAAGGATTAAACTCAAATTATAAAACTATTTTCTCGACCACTCACTTATAAACCATTAAGAATATAGCATTAATGCACTACATACAACCAAGGTTTTAATTATTAAATCCGCAATACAGTTAATATAAAGATTCCTAATACTTTTTCCCCACTCAAAATATAATTATAAGTACATAGGATTAAAATTTCAATGACTAATCTTATCTAATTAGAAATTTATAACTCTTCTATTATCAATGTTATAAAACTTGTAAAACCTGTTTGGATAGAATGGATAAATGTATTTCAGGCTATGATTAGATACCTTTAATTTCCAATACCTGCTAATCTTGCAAACACAAGATTAATATGACTTTTCTGTAAATTTTATAAGGAGTGTTGTTTAATGTCCAGATGAGTATTATTTGACCTTGATATAGTATGTTAAAAGAATTAAAGTATGATTATTAATAATTTAATTAGAATCAAAAACTTATGATGATTCAAAGCTAACGAAGACTGAGTAATATATTAAGTTTCTGGTTAACTAGATAAATCTGCCATATTATTGAGAATAATAGTTTAAATAGAATTATAAGATAAAAATCTTGTGAATCTTTTAATTAATGTAAATAAACTGTTTAGATAAGTAAATATAGAATAAGATCCGAACCAGGATCAAAATCAAGTTACTTAAGAAGATTACATAATGAAATTTTACTGGATATAAATTAACTAATAAGTGTAGATACTTTTAGTATATTAATTAAGGAATATGAACATTTATCTACTATCAAATATTAAGAAATTATTAAATATTCTTTTTTTAAAAGACATTGTTTTGATATTAAAATAATTTAAAATCAAATAGTTCTACAATATAATATTTAGTATGCACATTGAATTGTTAAGAATGCAAAAATAAAAATACTTGTAAAGTAGATAATTATTATTTATATAATGGATTCTGCTTTAATAATTGCCCAGATTACATTTAATAATAAGAAAAATTTTG